GCTGTGCTCGTAGTTACGACAGTAGTGTTCACAGAGCTGGGGGGAATGGTCGCCCGGGAATGCAGTAGTCGATTGAATAGGATTAGATGCTGACGAAATAGGTACTGTAGTGGTCTGGCATTCTGTGGTAGAAATAACACTCGTATCTACATCGAGTGTCGTTGCCGCATCAGAGACCGTCGTAGGAGTAACCGCAGTAGTCGCAGTATCTACCACAGTAGTGCTTGCGACAACCGCAGTAGTCTTCACAGCAGTGGTTGCATCAGCAGTCACCGTTGAAGTAACCTCACTAATCTGTGCAGCAACCACAGCAGCCAGAGACATAGGAATGAAGAAGCGCATTATGAAGCTGTTGGAATGAACTGACCAACCACAACGTCACTGAGCCCAAATTGTCAACAGAATGCTTTTCCTCAGGAGCAGTGAATAATCAGTACAAAATGGAGCAGACGGTGATCGTCGCATACTTATAGAAAACGGGTGCTCTCGAATGACAATTGGTCATACCAAGCATTCAAGACAAAATTGACAAAATCAGGAGGCATGCAACGACATGAGATTCTTTCACGGATGAGGCACTCGACGTAGGCGGCGCCACTGTGGTAGCGACCGAAGTATTGCTAGATGGTTCAGAAGGAGAAATGCGCATAGCAGCTGACGGAGTCGGAGTACTGCTTATTGGTGTCGCATCCGCAGTACTCGATGGGGCGACAGACGTCACTCGTAGTCTACTCCTACTCGCCGTACTAGAACCGGTCGTCGTAATATTTCCGATAGGTTTCGGAGAAGCGGTAGTAGTCGGACCACCAGTACTGTTCATTGCGATTGTAGTTGAAGCAGGGGTAGAGATGGATGAGGTTGATGTCTGATTGATAACAACTGGTAGACCACTCGAAGACTCCATGGAACTCGTAGTTGCAGACGAATTAACAGCCATGGTAGTAGGAGTAGTAGTAGTAACATTGGGAGGCTGCCCAAGGAACTTTGACGTGGCCGAAGAGATGGCATTACTCGAGCCCAAAGTCGTAATCACGGGAGCTGTGGTTCTCTGCGACATGATGCAGGCGAGGACGGTAGCGGCAACGAGAACACGCATCATTACGGGATGAGCGGTCAAGCTGAATTAAACAAGTAGATCCGAAAAAAGGATGCACCACCTGAGGAGGACTTAGCAGGAGTTTAAATAAATGGCTGCCTGACACTACATGCAAGGCTAGCTCGCTTGCCCGATCGTTTCAAACCGTTGAGCGACGTACTGGGAAACGCTGTGGCAGTTTCCATCACACGCCCGTGGATTTGTACAAAAGCGGCCGATGCGTCCCTCGCTGTAGGACCCCCATTGGTTGTTCTTCACCCATGATCTTAGTCTCATAACTTCCCATAAGATTAGCATGAGGCCTCTTGCGCCGATTTTAAAGTCAACTGTACAAAGGCGAGTACTCCAGTACGACTTGCAAAGTACGACACGAATGACTGTTCACCCCATGATGCTTCAACGTACATCTCAAGCCACATTATCCGCTACTTAAATTCTTTTGGTGTTGTTTTCTCCCACAAATACCTCATTTTTAATTGACAGATATCTCCATTTCGAACCACACAATGTGATCACAACTTTCCTCCCCGACAACATTGAAACGTGCGCATAACGTTGACTGTCCCCAATGCAAGTTAGCGATCGTGCGCTCCTTAGCATATCCTACTGGTATCGATTGAACTTTCCTAGAGAGAAATACATTGGAGTTTCACCCGTTCTACGTGAAGTGGCGTAATCCTCTGTGAGAAACGCGAAATTCGCGGTGATATGCAGTAGTCGTGAAATATATTTTTCACTAGTGTTTTCATATCACTAGGGTGGTGAAACTCCATTCTACATAGTCACGTTTACTCACTCAAAGGCGTCGTCAGACTCACGGCATCAGCTTCTTGGCCGCAGCCTCCACTGCTGCTGTTATGCGAGTCAAGAGTAAACATCTCTCCCGTCCTCTATAGCGTTGGTAACTTGAATTCTCAGCACGCACCATGCCATGCCTTTCAAAATCGTTCAACGCCTTCAACTACACGACAGTGTTAAAATATATCTTTACTCTCCTCAGCTGGGCCCAGGAAGTTCCTCACTAATTTTAGAAGTTATTATTCAAATTCGGGTGTAAAGTGTACAGAAACCAATAAGAATTTCCGCCATTTTCGTAGATGTCACCTACACATGCAGTTCGCCATGTGCACCCACACCGCTACACGACCATGCGTAAAATCTTCACATTCACTTGTCATCGGCCCTTACAGTAATCTCTCTACCAACCCAAGCAACTAATTCACTATCATTCGTACTGTCAACAGTCGCAACTATAACCGAGTTATTAATGTTAATGCGATTCGATCTTGCTGTGTTATCTCGAATCGTCATGAATCCATTCCTTATCCTTCAAAACACGACATATCAACAACAAGAAAACATGACTAATTACCATCATGCTACAACACCCCTTCACTCTCACTCGAGCAAGGCACCTCAGCAAGGAGGAATTCAAGTACCTCACACACAGTACACGTCAAGTATACTCGTCTATCTCTACACACCTCTCTGTCGAGCAAGAACGCCTCGATGAGTCGCTTTCGGTCGCCAGCAGTGAGCCAACTCAAGTCAGCTGACACCAAGCCCATGAAGGTATTCGATTGCATAGCCGTACCGTCTTTTGGGCTTCCATCACTGATACCACTCCTTCTCCTAATAATCTGTTTTCTCATCTGAATATTGAGGAGTTGAGGAATCCATGATTTTCCCGGGGGATCTCATTGTGAATTTTCCGCGGATGGCTAGGAACACATTCTTCAATCAGTTTCCCATGTAAATGTCATCATCACATTAGGAACATTTTCCTCGTTGTTATCAAACCCTGGGTGACGTTATCTCTCAAAGTTAAATAGGCCTCTAGTCTGAATATGCCCGACAACTTCATTTCCAATACATTCACCCAGTGTTAGTATGTATGTTCGCTTTCCTCAGCTTAGTCACTCAGAAGTTTTCTCACTAATTATACAAGTTTACATACAAATTCTGGTAGAACTGTACAGAAATCAATGAGAATTTCCTCGATTTTCCTCAAAAATTTCACAGACGTTCCCTACACATGAAGTCGACTATGTGCATATTTTCCCACCCTGCATTCACCTCATCAACACATCGTGCAAAGATCTCTTCTAAGCTTCGCGCGCCTGCTGAATTCTCATCTACGGCGAAGTCGCGAAGTCGACAAACAGCCGCGGCTTCATTTTGAATGAGATTATTCAAGTTCGCAATGACTCTGTCGTATCGTCGTCGTATTTCACTTTCTTTGACTGGATCGAAATTCCTACAAGTACTCAGTGGAGCTTCACCCGTTTTACGTGTGAACTGATACGTTTCCTTGACCGATTTCACAATTGTTTTTCGCCTAGTGAAATATGGAATATCGTTTTCACTAGTGTTTTTCACATCACGAATGTAACTCCAGTATGGTGTGTATTCCGTCATCTGGTGAGCTTTCAATTCGAGGTTCTCACTGTTCAGTGTTGTGATACTCCCCATCAATCTTCCTGCTATTCTCATCAGTATATGCTTCGCTTGACGTCAACGACATTTCACTGTCATCTTCAGTCCTTCTCTGAGGCATAGGAACGAATGTTCTTGGATTCGAAATAACCAAGTAGTGCATCATCGTTGCAGTATTAAATTCTCAATGTTGAGACACAAACTATGATTTTTTTCATCCCATATTATTAGTAATTATAGATACTCGAGAATTCTACCACTACATTACGTTGTCAATCGATTCATGTTGATATTACTCAAAGTTGACTTTCGAACTCCCAAAAATTGAAATCGTTGAAAATCTTACTTCACATAACGGTTTGGTTCACACTGCTGCTCACCTGTGCTCGATCAACTGCTTCTTTTAATGTCTTGAACTCCTTTCTAGAGAGCGCGATTTCCCTTTCCAGGAAAACACGATCATCTTCTATTTCCTGTACGTTATCACGCATTTTGTCAAGACGTTTCTGGTGTTTCGTACATATATCGTCGAGCCTAACGGAAATAACAGTTTTGGGTCGAAATTCATCGAAGTACTATGCAACAGTGGAGTTTCACCACCCTAGTGATATGGAGAACACTAGTGAAAAATCTATTTCACGACTACTGCATAGCGCAAATATCGCGGTTTTCACAGAGTTTTACGCCACTTCACGTAAAACGGGTGAAACTCCAGTGTTGTAATATACGTTCGCTTTCCTCACCTGAGTTCAGGAGTCACTAACGAGAGGAGCTCACATACGAATCATGGCAGAAAAAAGTAAAATTTCCCCAAAATTTCCTCAGAATTTTCATATTATCACCAACATACGTCGTTGACCCTGTAGATATTTCTAGAGCGATTCTGATTCTCGAAATGATAAGTCCTCAGGAGGTATGGATAACTTTGGTGATGGGAATGCGCTCTCAGCGAGAGTAGAGTACTTGGTCTGAATCATTTCGTACACTTTCATTTTTAATCTCATTTAATCTTATTTTATTTTCGTAAGAGCCACGCAGACTTTTCGCCGACTTGCGTTCGTATTCGATAAAGTTTTATATTGATTTACCTCAAGGCCTCAGAAGTAAACCACTGCAGTTCATTTTCCAACACCCGTATCTGATGATACCAATTATCTAATACTAGGCACGATGCATTCAGCACACCTTTTGCAAGCGTCGAGCTCTTGTTTCCTTACAATCCGACAAGTTTTTCAACGAGGCCAGCTCACGTTGCACAGCATTCATATGCGTTCGGTACGCCAGAAAGAAATCCTGGAAATATTTTCGACCAAAACTCGAGGAGATAGTCACGGTCACCTTTTCGCGTTCATCTAGAAGATTATCAACAAGGTCATTGAAATCGTCTGATATTTTCTGAAGTTGAGAATGCAGATCAAGCACGCGAGTGCCGCTCGGGAGTTCGAGAATTTCTGCTGCTATTTCCTGAATGAACAAACGCTGATAACAACAGTATACGAGAACCGATGGAGTTTCACCCGTTTCTCGTGAAGTGGTGTAAAACTCGGGTAAACTTTTCTTATGACGGGTGAAACTCCAGTGTTGGAGCATATATTTTCGCTTTCCTCAGCTGAGTTCAGGAGTTTCCTCACTAATTGTAGGAGTTTATATACGAACTGGAGTAAAAGTGTTGAGAAACGAATAAGAATTTCCAAAAATTTCCAACACATTGACAACAGTATACGACAACCAGTTCGGAACATATATATTCGCTTTCCTCAGCTGAGTTAAAGAGTTTCCTCACTAATTATAGGAGTTTACATACGAATGGGAGTAGAAGTGTACAGAAACCGATAAAAATTTCTCAAAATTTCCTCAAATTTCCCATATTGTTACCACCACATGTAGTTGACCGTATGTGCATATTTCTCCACATCGCCACGAAATGAAGTAAATTTTCTAGAAAAATTTTCGTGTACATCAATATAGAAATATATGCTCATTACGCTCTTCCTTCACAAAGAACAGGAACATATAAAAAAAATTCAGAAAAAAAAATCAACAAAAAATTTACCCCTGAAATTCATAATTGTCACCAGTGGAGTTTCACCCGTGATATGAAAAACAAATTCCACATTTCGTATCGCGGAAAACAATTGTGTAATCGGTCGCGGAAAAATACAAGTCGCTACTTCACGTAAAATGCGAAGTGGCGTACAACTCGGTAGGAAAAACGCGATATTTGCGGTGATAAGCAGTAGTCGTGAAATATTTTTCTCACTGGCGTTTTTCATATCACTAGGGTGGTGAAACTCCAGCACACAAAGTTGACCATGTGTATATTCTCCCACACGACTGTACGTCACCACACTTGATGACATATTTTATTTTTCTCTAGGAATTATTCGCGCTACACCCGGCGTCGGCCCACCCCGTTAAACTCCTCATCAGCATTCGCGAAGACTGCCTCGTCCCGCTTGATGAGAGCCAACGAGGTACCATCGCTGTTATGCTCAGCTAGAAGGCGATTGCGATACTCTGCTCTGGCGTCGGCCTTGTCGCTGAGGTGATTGCAGAAAGCGACTCATTTCGAATTTTTCACACGATTAGGAACACATTCTTCAATCAGTTTCCCCATGTAAATGTCTTCACATATTTGAAATCTGTGATGAGAAATAAGATATTTCTCACTGTTTTCGAACTCTGGGAAACGCTCTTTCTCAAAGCTAAATGAGTCATTGATTGTAACTAGCGATCAAAACTCGGTGATATGCCGTTTTCTCTCAAGAATTTTCAAGTAGTAATAGTGCGCGAGGTGGGCGAATTTCGATTCCATTTCTATAGCAATCTTCAAGTAGTCAAACCTGAATTTAAATGGTATGTCGATAGCAGTGTTCTTTGACTGCATCGCCGAAGCAGCATCTACGATAGCGTCAGACATTGGTATCGTGAAAAGAACAACTCGCTGAGATCGATTACACTCGTGTGTTCATCGTGTGCTCTTGCATTCTCTATTTTCACCCCGTTGGAGTAAATTCTTAAACATTTTCGTGAACAACCGTATTTAGTATATCGAGTGTATTGCTCGCACATTGGGTACAAACAGTGTTGCGAAATATGTGCTCGTTTTCCTCAGCTGCTGAGCTCAATAGAATCCCTACTAATCATATGAGTTCACGAGCGAATATTTACGAGGAGTGGAAAGAAACTAACAGAAATTCTCCAAAATTTCCGCCGAGTTTTCGTATTCTCACCAACACTTGTGGTTGATCCTGTGCAAATTTCACCACACGTGTGAAGAACGCGAGTAAATCTATATACGGCTTTTCTCCATCACCAGCATTCGAACCTTATGGCTGCCATACGCGAAGATCTTTGAAAGCTCTGATCTGCGAGTTCGGGAGAGGCAGTTCGCCGAAAACCACAACAAGAAATTCGCACTCCCACGATGTGGGCAGGCATTCACCGACGAGGTCTCACCAATGGAAGTACTGCGATGCAGTTTTTCCTCCACTGGAAAACTACATTATCACAAAATATGATACACCTAGCCAAACAAGAAATCGTCATAATCTGTTTCATTCAGCGAACTAGGTCTGGTTGTAAGCGCTCACACTTGTGGTCGGCCGCAGAATCACTTGCATGGACCCATACATGACGATAGTAATCTGACGGGCGTAGGTGACATATATTCAGGTCACGACCAAGGTTAGATTTGATATTGACCGATGGGAGAATACCATCATTTCATCCACTCACTGGCTTCATCATCAGGTATTACTTGTTGTTGGATAAGTCAACAAGAGTTATTAACAAGTGATTCTTGATATATGATCAATACAGTAGTCATAAAGTATACGCTAGGCTAGCGAGGAAGACAAGTATCATAAGAATCTGAAGAGACATTTGTGTGCAACATTTCCGTACAGTGGTAAACCAGACTCAACACGACGCCGTATCATTCGTACTAGGCAAATTTCGCACCTACATTTTATCAATCTCCATATCACTATCAAAATCTTCCATTTCGCGAGGCTAGCGAGTTCTTGTGTTAAGATGTCCCTACAGAAACTCCAATTACAACGGTACGTCGATTTAAGAGCGTCCAGTTCGACGTAATAATAGTAACTTTTCACGTAAGGACATCAACTGTAGATAGCCGACCCGTATACTGCGTGAGTCAACCTCATAAGTGCCACTATATCACTATTGTAGCGAAATTAATATTATCACATACGGTGCACGCATGCACAAAACTATACACCGTCGCCTCTGTTGCGCAGTGTTGTAATATATGATCGCTTTCCTCAGTTGACCCTGGGAGTTTTCTCACTAACTATAGGAGTTTATATACAAACTAGGGTAGAAATGTACAGGAACCCGCAAAAATGTCGGAAATTTTCCTCAGAATTTCCATATTGTCACCAACATATGTGGGCAACCATGAGCATATTTTCCCACACTGCTGTTGCGTTAAGCACTTATACTCTGCTTACGCAACGTGCCGAACGGTGTTAACCATTGAGAGAGTCAAGGCAAGGGTTGATGGAATGTAGATAATTTATCTACAATCATATTAATAAAATCATCAGCTAGCTTTAAGCTGAGATTCCATATTTGTGCACCCTGCACAAATATAAACATCACACGGCACACGAGCGTTCACGGCAATTCCGTTGAGGAGGCTGATCGTGTTCAGAAATTAACAATTCCCTCAAAATTTCCATGTTATCGCCAGCACATGAAGTTTATCATCTGTCGAACCCATCAACCATTGTCTTCAAGAAGAAGATTTGGTAACATTACATTACAATTCTTCGGATTTCAATGTTTTCGGGGACACTAAGATTTTTTGGGTCTGAGATAAGAAATTCTTGGGGCGCGCGCCCTGTAGGTGCCGGTGAGGATTATGTACATCGTGAAACGCTTCGCTCCGCTGTACTCGAGACGACAATTTTAGCACTCATCTGTGATGATAAGAGTACGCCAAACATCTCATCGTTGCTCTGACGCACATAGAGATACGTCACAGATTCAATTTGAATTGCATCAATTCAAATTGCCTTTAATTTCAACTCGGCTTCGTCTGCAATTTGTGTATTGCACAGTCAATTCGTGCTAGTCGATATCGGTGTATCATGTCACGTGTAAGGGCACGAGTTCAACCTCGGCACGTGTTGAATATCTGAGGCAGTTCTGGCACCTATCTTCAGAGGGGTTCGCTGACAAATGGAATATGCTATGATAACGATTGCTACCAATCGGTTTCACATGGAGATCAAATTTCGCCTTGTCGCAAGCCTTAGAGTCCCTACCTGAACCGTGACACGGCGCGAGACGTGACGCCACGTGATTCACGCTCTAACGCCGTCTACCTCCGTTTCTGCATCGCACCGATATGAAACCTGTTATTGCTGAATATGACTCTGCTGATACTCCGAGTGGATTTCTACGATGGTCAAGACCGCCACCATCTGGAAGGATCTCATTGAAGTTGTGGCGGATCCTCAAGGGTATCGCTGACAAAAAAAGGGGATTCTGGTATCATCTAGCTGTATGGGCTTTGTTGCCTGGACTGTCCTTGGCTTGCGGCCTATACTATATTTGCATCGTGCTACTTATGGTCTACCACCCCACATCGGCTCTGCAGCTTTCAGTGGAAAAACTGAATTTGAATCAACACGTCTGGTGCGGTTTAATAACTCTACAGAGTGCAGCACGTCACTGCGTGAGAGGCACTATTGACCTTAGAATCCGCAATAGGATGTGGACAGGCATGACTATCCAATCTGTCTATGCTCCTCTTTACTATTATATTCCAAACACGAGATACCTTGGGCTTCGTGAATCTATTGGTCGCCTGGAAGTCGAGAGCCTCGTGGTGAAGCCCATGAGCGATGACCTCTATACCCTACCAGCTTATTTGGTGGCGACGGGCTTTGTAAATCCTTCAGGCTCAAACCTGACCGCCCAAGTCTTTTTCAGTATTGATGCACTCGGTTTCCATACAGTAGACGCGTTTGACTTTGGTCTTCACCGAATACCGTCTTACACTCTTTGGACGCCCCCATCGGCCGCAAATGATTCTCCTTCTGAATGATTGCTGGATAGGTGATCGAGTCAGTTGTTTCTTATTGGTCCGCTACTTCACATCTTTCACCCTGCGCTAGAGACCCCGGCATCGATTCCATGGGTCTGCAGTGAATCATTTTTCTATTTCACGATTCATTTCAGATCGTATTCCATCGCAAATCTGGAGTGTAATCATTCACCCATCGAATGTGTTGCGTTTGTCCGCGAACCCGTTTGTCAAGTGGCACAGTTTTGACGCCGCATACAACCCCCATCTCGACTGAACTCCTTCTGTGAACCGCGGAATCGCTTGCATAATATCAAGCGAATATCAGGAGAAGGAGTGATATTTAGTGAGCATATTTGATGATGATTTGTGAATAGGATATGTACAGAGATGATAATTCTTACTATGGCTTTCGATTACTAAACAGAAATTAGGTGACTTTAGCCATCTATGATGGTTTGTATTAGGAAACTCGACTGATAGACTATCTCTTTTGATACACACAAACAGACGAGTACGGTGAGCTGATTTTGGACTATGTTATCTCCTCCTCCCCAACTGCGAACTCAATACACATCACATAAGCACGGGAGGGCGATTATTATTATGACCGCAAAAGCGGGACACAAAAGTCGTCAATTGGCAGAGGGTAACAATTCTTCTCGAGTATCTTCATCATCACAGCATCTGAAAGCAAAAACGTATGTAAAGTAGAGACTTTCCCAGCGATGGTTTACCTTGGACTGTTATCCTTTACTTGGAACGCTGACGCATCTTCCGGCGCTTACGCTGAAGACGACGAGTACGCTTCTTCTTCCACTTCCAACGCATGGCCGCACGGGCCTTCTTATAGGGGTTGGACTTATGAGCCATGTTGGAGAAGACCAAACCCTGGTGTGAAGGGAACTACAATGAAATCCAAGCTGCATCAAATCGATCACTCGAGCATTTTATAAGCTTTGTGTTGGTCGCTGTCACCAATCACCATAATTGTACCTCGCCGATCGCTCTCGAAGAGATCATCTACACCATATGATTAAGGACTGACTATTCTCTTTTATAGTTCCACAGAATCGATTTCGCCCTTACCACTATGTATATCAGATTCCGAAATTCAAATACAGAAGTGCACGAGATTGCCAAAATCTCTATCGCGAAGTCCTAGATCGAGTTACTCATTATTCGTTCACTAGATATGTTCATCAGACCATCACGTTTACGGCAAGATGAATAGGACCCGGATTGACTACGAACAAATTAAATTCTTCCAACGGCTATACGAGGTCTGTCGGCATCGAGTGAACTGGTCGAGTACAGACACGCTCGTTCATGAGTTTAATCGCCATACCACCCATTTCTGATGAACCGTCTCTACGGAATGCTTATAAACAACCATCAGTTCTATCACGCATTAAAGCATTTGGCATCTACCCCAACAACGTTGTGTATTCTAATCTGAGATAGATTTCACTACGGGAAACAACTTTTATGAAATACTCCTTGGAATGATTCGAAAATATGAAGCTCCGTGAGTCTTTTCAACTCACCGAGTATAGGAATCGTAACTCTGCATCGTAATTCCTCTGCATGGCAGTTGGGAATTGTAACGATTGACGACAACCCTCACCACAGAGTGTGCCTTGTTGCACTTAAGAGCATCGTAGCAACAAAGCAATCAACGAGAAAAGTGCGACACTTCTAGACTGTACGATACACATCATAGCAACAAACCCATTGATAAGGAAAGCGCAACACCGAGTAACTAGAATTATACGCTGCCTATTGTAAGCATATGACTATCTAAGTCATCACTCAAGACGAGACAGCGATTAGAAACAGAGATACATCTACCTTTGGTTTTATAACATAGCAAGAAACGTTCTTGATGTGAAGACAGTTACATGGGAAACGATGGTAGGATGCGTTTCTAGCCATATCGAAAACCCAAAATGGATTCTCCCCGAGAACATTATAGGTCAGTGAATAGAGATGTCCAGAGCTGCTAGTCAAAGCCGCTAGAAAGACCAACAGAGTCGGCCGTAAACTTCGGCTTCGGTGGAGAGCCCTGGCATACGATCAACCCACTTAAGAGGACAGCATGTTATCTATGCGATGGCAATACCCAGCGAGTACCGCTGCAGCTACTGAATTTCACCGCTTCACACGAGGGATGTTAAAAGCCATCGGAAAACGACCATAAAAAGTTGTATCGCGCAATGAACGATCTGTACCAGTATGAAGACCGATCAGACAGCTGAGCTAACGATGCAATGTTGGCAATGTAAATAGAAGCTTTACACTGACGTGAACAGACCAACTTCAAGTGCCGGAATTGCCAATGAGAAAAATAATCATTAAAGTGTATCGCGCAATGAACGATCTGTACCAGTATGACGACCGATCAGACAGCTGAGCTAACGATTCTATATTGGCAATATAAAGAAGTTTGTCACTGACGTGAACAGACCAACTTCAAGTGTCGGAATTGCCGTAATAAACAGATCTTATCAGAGTGAGCTGAGTTATAAGTGGAATCAGATCCCATCTAGTGGGTTCATAAGACCGTCGTGTTTTATCATCATATGATCTTATCAATTACAGATTTCCGGAGCTCTCCATTGGGAATAAAGATATCCTCCTCAGCGAACCGAGGAAACCTCATCCCTACTAGAAGGCGCTCCGTAGAGGAGAGACACTTAATTGAGAACACCACGACGACAGAGACTCTTTGAGACCGGGGTTAGAAGTAGCGATGACAGCCTTGGACAAGTCGAATGATGCTATCATCAACCTGAAAATAGCAAGATAATGAACAACAACTATCTAGAGTAGGGGAAATTACCTCTCATTATCCTTGGGAATCAGCAGCTTCTCGACAACAGCGGGCGGAAAGTGAACTCAGAGATGAGTTTACTTGGAACGCTGACGCATCTTCCGGCGCTTACGCTGAAGACGACGAGTACGCTTCTTCTTCCACTTCCAACGCATGGCCGCGCGGGCCTTCTTATAGGGGTTGGACTTATGAGCCATGTTGGAGAAGACCAAACCCTGGTGTGAAGGGAACTACAATGGAATCCAAGCTACATCAAATCGATCAGCTGATCGATTCAAAGAAGAGTTAAGCTTTCGCGGAGCGATGCACCCTAACGGACTCATCCAACGGACTGTCTTCGGACTCATCCAATACAAGTGGCACTCTTGATAGAACCAAGTATTTCTTATTAACCCAGTACAGTGAATGCTATCTGGTCATATGATTGAACTCCATCTCAATGAACTGTTTAGTTCCAGCGCTGGAATGCCGTTGTGCAATTTGTCCCCTGGGACTCCCTCCCATTGCGAGTTTCAGTATCACCCATCGCTCTTTGTCTCTATGTAGATAATAATCGATTGGTTAGACTAGTGTTTGCACAGCAGTCAGTTCACCCTCGAGATCGCCGGAATGTGATAAGAAAACTTTACTCAGTATATTTGACCTAAATGCAAGAAATGCATGTAAATGCTCAGTAGATGATGATATAATCTACCATTTGTGTATAACTCTGCTTCCACAGAAAATAGTAAGATGGGGTAATACAGTGAGTAGAAAATGCCGGAGACTCCTGAGAACGTGAATTTTCCACGCACGATTATGCCTTCACAGCAAAATAATGTGAACACGCTAGGTATTACCCTAGCTTGAGGACATAGGATTATCAATAATCCCTCTCAGTGGGTGTTGTACCATATGGATGATTCATCGCCCAGTGGGAAGATACCGACCACCACATTGCAGCGTAATTCAACGATGCCTCCAACAGTGGGAAGGCCGACGACGACCACGGAGGCAGCTGTAACAGAGGGAGAACAATACCGACATGATCAGCTTGTTATATCCTTACTCATGTTCGCTGTCATTGTCACTGGGTAAGCGACTTGGAAAATTATCACAAAATTTTTGGAATTATTACAAAGTATTTAGAAATTTTTTACAGTCTTTGGAAATAATTACAAAGTTTTTGGAAATTTTTTACAGTCTTTGGAAATTATTACAAAGTCTTCGGAAATTATTACAAAGTCTTTGGAAATTATTACAAAGTCTTTGGAAATTATTACAAAGTCTTCGGAAATTATTACAAAGTTCTTGGAATGCTCTCGGGCACGAGTTAATACAAAAAGAGATTTTTCGAATTTTTAACGGGTTGTATAATGACTCAGTTGCTGCTGATGAATATCTTTTTTCCACAGAGTATATCGAAAGTCTCCAACCAGTAAGGTTCTCATTCTAATGTTAGGAAAGTCGCTGTGGGAAATGGTCAATTACACGCATTGGTGAAGATGTGAAAATTCAGAAAAAAAACCTGCAAATTTCCAAATCAACTAGTATATGAACTCCTCTAATTAATGAGGAAACTCCTCAGATCAACTGATGTGGTTGCGGGTAAGATTCGCGCAGAGCCTTTGGGACCCTACTCTGGCTTCGTGACGGCCATCGCGAATGCTATAGTATACTTCACGATATATACCTCAACATGCACGTATCGGTATATCATGGGGTACATTACGAAGCAGCAGGTAACTCTCGCAGGGGGAATTTTTTCGGCTAAACGAAAATTCTTAATAATCACGCATATAAAGATGTTAATATCGTTACACTGTAGGAGTATATATAGTGTTGAGTAGTATTTACCAACGGCTTCAATTTTTGGGAGTACGAAAGTCAACTTTGAGTAATATCAATATGAATCGATTGACAACGTAGCACAGTGGTGAAGTCTCGAAGTGAAAAAAACCAGTTTGAAAACCTAGATATGCATAACTGTTTGCTTCGTACTCTACTTTACAGTTTATCCCTGCTGTAATACTGATAGTAGTATATACTACAATACGTTGTCTCATATGAGTGGGAAAGTCCACGACTTGGTGGTTTATTGCGGCTACTTGGTAATAGCCTTCGCACTGTAGTAGAGCGAATACTATGCATCAGTGATTCTCGGTGAGTCCTGTGTAATCGTTCGTTCATGATTTTCGCGACTCGTATAATCTACCATGTGAAAATTAGTATAAAATGCTGTTCCGACTCCATGGTCTACTCTATGTATGAAGACATCGTTTTCACCTGAAAATACCATCAGTGAATCGGTCGCCTAAATTCGGCATTTTGTTTGTGAGAAAAATAAGATAAGCGTTTTGGAGAATAATTATCCAAAACGCTTATTCTTTTTTTTTCCTCATTTTTTAACCCAATAGTTGATATTTTGTTGAAAATGGGAGTTTTCGACAAAAAATTTTGCCTTGGCGTTGAAATTTTCCCAAGGCACACACACCAGTGTTTTCCTCCCTAGCGGAGCGATGTCGTAATTTTTTTAATCTTTCATCGAGACTACTTGTACTGTTGTCTTTTACTTGGTGTTTTTATTTTCCCAAACTTACTGTTAGTCACGGAATTAGTGTTATATTTCAGATAAAATTCATATGGTCTCGTGATGGTCAATGGCGGCTCCTGGCCATAGCCGGGCTCTGCGATGTGCTCGGGCAAATTCTACAATTCATTGGCCAGCCATATGTTAGTGTGATGGTTTATCAACTCATGTTGCAAGCTCAGGTAATCGTTGGGGAAATTTCATCCGTTTTACGTAAATTTCACCCGTTTTACGTGACTATGTGTTGTGGCTCACTCGGGAATGCCCACTATGAATACTATACGGTATCAGTCGAGACATAACTGATTAATGCGGCAGCAGCGCGCACAAGATCAGAATGCGCATGCGTACGCCACAGCTAATATCGATCAGACGCTCATATGTGCATCGCTCCGCTATACTATATATGGAACCCCATAGTTTGACAAGAGTGAAGGAGTAATCGTCCATGTGAAAAACGCGATATGAAGTGAAATATGTTTTTCATATCACTTGTGAAACTGCAA